GGTGGGGGGTTTGGTGGTTTCCCCTGAGACAGTGGGTAGAAGTGAGCAGCAGTATCTGGTCCTGTGAGCATCATCCAGTTAAAGATGTTTCCAGGGCCCACAACCCCCTCTGGGATTCCTGCACCTTTTGTCATACCCTTCACTGCCCCTCATTTTCCTGAACCTTCTCTTCCCGAGTCCAGCAAACACCTCATCTGTGGCCCTTGGTCTTCCCGAGGGGAAACTGAGACCTAGGAGCTGACGTGTACAAAGTACAGAGATGTGTACCCCTGCCACGACCTGAGAGGGTAACCCTCACTGCTGAAGGAAGACTAGAGCAACAGTGATCTGCCCCTACAGACCCCGGCCGGCTCTAGACACCAGTGACTGTTCCCAGTCTACATCAGGAGCTCATGTAACCCAGACCCTTGGACCACAAGCCTGCCCTCGGAGACTTATCCCCCTGACAAGGGACAAAAGGAGCAGGGGAGAAAGCTAGGCTCCTAGGAGACCAGGCGGCAGGGTGGTATGGCTGCTGGAGGGAGACATCCAGAAAGGCTCCTCTGCACAGCAGACGTAGCAACAATTGTGAGGTTGACCCAGGAGCTGGCAGTGTTTCATTCCGTTGTGCTATGAGTTGGTACAGACTCACTGGCACCTAACAACAATAAGCACTACAATTGTGTGAGTTGTGTTGTTGTAAAGTGCCATTGAGTCAATTCCCACTCATAGTGACCCACTAGAGAGTTTCCGAGGAGTGTCTGATGGGTTTAAACTGTCGATCTTGTAGTTAGCAGTCCAGTGCTTATCCTACAGCATCACACCAGGACATATATTTTGTTGTTGTTGTTAAGTGCCGTTGCTAAGGTTCTGACTCATAGTACCCTATAGCGTTTCCAAGGGGCAGCTGGTGAGTTTGAGCCACTGACCTTGCAGTTCACATCGACTGCATTTGAATATTAGTATATTAGCCAAGAGGACTTAAAATACTTACTGATGAAGATCAAAGACCTCAGCCTTTAGTATGGATGGCACCTCAATATAAAGAAAACAAAAATCCTCACAAGTGGACCAGTAAATAACATCACAATAAATAGAGAAAAGATTGAAGTTGTCAAAGACTTCATTCTGCTTGGATCCATAATCAACACTCATAGAAGCAACTGTCAAGAATCAAACAATGTACTGCATGCATTAGGCAAATCTGCTGTACAAGGTCTCTTTAAAGTGTTCAACAGCAAAGATACCATTTTGAGGATTAAGGTGCATCTGACTCAAACCATGGTATTTTCAGTCGCCTCAATATATATGTATATATATGAAAGTTGGACAATGGATAAGAAAGACCAGAGGAAAATCAATACATTTGAATTCTGGTGTTGGAAAAGAATATTA